TTTCAATTTTGGTTCATTTTCGTCTACTTTGATTCAATTTTTGTACCTTTAAATGTGAGACAATTTTAATCTTTATTTACAAAGTTTTAACACAATTTTTATACCCAATAGAAAACCTTGAATAAAATTTATGACTGCATTTTAAGAAATTATTTAATGAGGTGGAGTGTTATGCTAAAATTTTCATCATAATAAATGAAATAAAAATGAAAATGAAGAGACTTGTCCCTAAGATAGTATAGTGCCAAGGAGGTGAAGTTTCATGGTGTATCACAAATGGTATTGTGTTTGAGCTCTATAGTTGATCACAGTGGTTGTCTCAGCCCAAACAACGAGTCTCAATTATAGAGATTCATCGACGTAAGCCACACAAATGTATTTTAATTTATGACTTCATGGACAGTAACTTCTAAAGGATGAAATTGAAACTATTTATAGACATTAAAGATGAAATTGAAATATATATATATATATATATATATATTATAGATGCTAAAATATACATTGCTTTCCAAAAAATAGTTTTTCTTTTAAAATTTGAAATAATATATAAAAACCCGATCTAAAATTTTCTTTTAAATAAAATGTCGCATTTTAAACTCATATGAAATATTCACGAATAACTTCCCCAAGTTTTTGTTACTCAAATATTTTTTTTTGTCATTTTTAGTTAAATGATGAGGACAATTAAAAATTAGAAAAAAAAACAAAAAAAGCCCTCTCATTTAACTCAACTTATTTTTTGGACTATATTAAAAATCTTGGAGGGTAAATTTAATGTTGGATTTTCATCACAATCGTAAAGAAAAAAAGTTCTTTTTACTTTTCAAAAGTTTTCATATATATAAAGTAAGATGTGAAAATGGTAAACAATGCATAAGAATCAACCACTATTAGGAATATCCCATAAACAACTTTATACAATTTCTTTGATCTTCTTTTGCTTTTTACTTTTTACTTTTCTTTTCAATAAATAAAATTAAATTCAAAAGCTTACCTTTTCCCCCTCATAATAATCTAAAAATTCTCTCTTTTTTGCGAAAAAACTAGAGTTAATTCAAAATATTAAAGGAAAAGCTAAGAGATGTGTTTGAAGTTGCATTTGGTCTAAAAAAAACTTTCTTACACGATCATCACGTTTGAAGTAACATTGTACCATTTTAAGAAGTTAAAACTAAAAGTACCTAAAGTTCTTCGAGGAGAAAGTATTTGTAGATTACATTTATTGTATAAATATTTGGATTGAAAAATACTTCTAAGGTACCTTTAAGAGTATAAAATCAAACAACAAAGAAGTGTGACAACATTTTTTTCTTTTGTTTCTTTGTTTTTTTTTTGGCTAATAACGCCTCTAAAAAACTACCCAAGTATACTTGAGAAATATATATATATATATATATATATATATGAATAACATTCTTACTCGGTGAATACAATACGAATTGAATTATCTTCCTTAAATTATCTTCCTGTTGATTGTTAAGTTTTTATCTTTATGATTATTGAAAAGAAAAATAAGAGATTGTGATTTTGCTTCATTAAGTTTTTGAATAAACATTATAATCATTTAAGTAACCAATCCACTTTTCTCAAAAAAAATAAGTAACCAATCCACAAAAAGGAATTACTAACAAAAATAAAAATAAAAACAACAATAAATGATATCAATTAATTCTTTGCTTTAGAATGACAACATAAATGTAAAAAAAAAAAAAGAATGACAACATAACTCAAAAAAAAAAAACGACAACACGAAAGGTAATTTTCCATTAAACAATTAGTTAATCAAAATTCACAGCGAGCATGAACTTAGTGGGGTGGTTAAGGCATTTTGTTATTTTTCTACAAATTGGAGGCTCAATCCCTCACCATACCTTTCTTCTACTAAAACATATATTAATTAATCAATAACAAAATTTAGAGAAAATTTCAAAATTTACCCTAAACTTAACCATGCAAGTCAATTTTTACCCTAAAATTTCTACTGCAATTTTTATCTTATGACTTGATTTATTTTTTCTTTTTTTAAGTACAACATGCGGGGTTAATATCGAACTCACAATCTCTTAGTTAGAAATATATATCAATTATCGTTCAACTATACTTATTTTGGCATCTCAAGACTTGATTTTCTCTATTTAATGTTCGATTCCATTGAAATTGATCATTTCAAAAGAATTTTATGTCACCTATTTAATTGAAATTAGTGAATAATATTTAATCAAATCGAAAGTTTAAGTCAAAATCGTTGACTCACCGGAATAAAAACTTCATTTAATTAATATCAACTCTTGTAAGTTAAATATCAAATTATAACACTATATAATTTATCTAAAAATATTCATGTACATCAATATTTCTATAAAATTAAAAGCCATACATTTTTACTTCTCAGAG